GCGAAAAAGAGCACCCAAAGCGCGCGTTTTAGAAGAGACGGTGAGTTCGAAGGAAAGGGAATGGAGCCGTTATTTTTGTTTTTGTTCCTAAAAGTCGAGAGAATTGCAATCTTTTTTAGCGCCTAGCTTTTACACATTTAGAAATTCAGAGAATATTCAAAGGGTTCAGAGAAATTCAGAGAATATTCAATTCAAAAACTAAATTGTACTTTATGGTCCAAAGGCAAAAACTTTACCCGAGGCTCTGAGTTTTGTTTCTGACAGCTCACTGATGCCGAAGAAGCTAAAAATAAATGTCGAAAACGTTTGAGAAAAAACTTATAGTCAAAACACTGCCGGACCATAAAGTATCATGTATGAGCTGTACTTTATGGTCTCCCTTATTTTTTGGAATTTGCATGCGAAATTTTTCGGATATTCAGTTAAGAGGGATGTTTAAAGGTATTGTAAATTTATTCTGAGCCGTTTTGCTCAATGGACCATAAAGTATAACTCATAAATGATACTTTACGGTCCAGTGTTTTGTTATAAATTTTTTCTAAAACGTTTCCGACATTTATTTTTAGCTTTTACGGCATTAATGAGCTGTCGGAAGTAAAATAAAATAGATTTCATTGAGATCAAAAGTTGGACCATAAAGTACAATTTAGCCTTCAAAGGATAAAAGCAACGATAAGTTATCGTTAGTCATCGGTTAAACAACAAAAATTTGTAATTTTACACGGGGATCCGGGAAAATTTAACAAATGAGAAACTTTGAAACAATACCGAACCGACCGAAAGCAAACCGACGGCTGACTGCACAGATGAAGATGATCAAAATAGGGACCATGAAGATTGCGCCACGAAAATTGCGCAAGTTTTTTTTGTGCGCCGCCAAATTTTGCGCTGCAAAATTTGTGCGGAAGGATTTGAGTTATTTCATTGAGACTTTACCTTGTTTTTTGATGATGCAGAATCGAATTTGACTCACAATGACTAGATGTTTTTAAATGCAAATTGATGTTGTTTGAGTGCTTAGCACACGGTTGTTTGTTGATGTTTAGATTACTCAAATGTTTGTGTTTCTTTGTTTCTTTTTGGAAGATGCATTTTGTTGTTTCTAGTACTGGATTAGCGCTAGTTTGTTCGGCGCAATTTTCGTTTTTGGCTTGAGGCGCAATTGTCATGGTCCCCAAACCGACGGCTGACTGCACAGATGAAGATGATCAATTTACGGACAATTTTGTCCCAATTCTTGAAAACGCAGGCTCAGATAATAACTCTCTGGTTATTAAAAACCACAGTCTCTATGCTTGCACGTATCTTTATTTCACATTTCTCAAATAAGATAAAGATTCTCAATAATTATTGATCCCTAGCATGATAGATGATCTAAATGTATGCGCTCTTTGGTGAACTAAACTCTTTCCCAAACAATGGGTAGTGAGAGACCCTTTCTCCCTTCCTCTTTTCCCCAACCGGTACCCTCGATGTCAAGCTAGCATCCCCCTCCTCTCTTTCAAGACGACTGCCAAACGGTGAGAAGACCCACCAATGCATCATTTTTTTTCTCTTCACTCTTATAGTTCCGGTTTTCTTCGGATCATTGTGAATGAGTTCCAGTCAATGGAAGGGACGACCCGGATCGACACGCGAATATCATCTTTCATGTTGCTCTCAAATTTTTGGTGACGATGCTCAAATAGCTGAATAATGAAGGGAAAGGCAGACTTTTGAGAAGCTTGTTTTTTTATTGGAGAAAAGAGGAGACCATGCAACAACGAGTACTTTTTGTGAATTGGGGAAAGATGAGATGAGGAAACGCGAGAGAGAAATAAGAAACTGATAGGAAAATGAGTGGACTGTTTTCGGGAAACTTTCCGGAGATCAAAAATCGTTTTAGAACTGGCAATGTTAACTGTTGTTGAATATGGGAAATGATAGTCTAAAAGGTCAGAGATCACTCAAAGCTTGTACCTCAAAAGAAATCCATAAACAAAAGATACAAAAAAACAAAAGATGTATCAAAGAATAGTATCCTCTGTTGGGAAGATAGCGTTTTATACTTCCCACAAAATTGTCGTTTTTTAAAGTGCACCTTTCACGTCTGTCTGGGTTGCCACTAGGAACGTCCCGTAGTCTGTGCCACTTAGTTTTGTTTCATTCCCTCCCATTGGGTTCTATATTTTGTATACAAATCGATTGTGATTCTTTTATTCATCTTTATTCCTCTGGATAAACGCTAACTGTTATTCCACAAGCAAGTCAATTACGTTATAACGAGTCAATCACGTTACAACGAGTCAATCACATTATAACGAGTCAATCACGTCATCACGTTATAACTGTTGTAACGCGTTACAACAGTTACTACTACTACAACACTCTCAAATCTGTCTGGTGCAAATTTCTGGACATCAGACACAGTGGGGTTTAGGTTATACATAGCCGGGAAAAGAAATAAAAGAGATGGGTAAATGCTGTGCGTCAGAGAAGAGAAAAGAAAGGATCTTTGCTTGTGTGAATGAGACGAGTTCACGTCTCCTTTTTTTCCGTCACCGCTCCGTTTTTCCGCTTTCCGCCGTTGAAAAGACCTTTTACCCTTCCCTCTCCCCTTTTTTTACTTCATTCTTTGTCTAGTGTACCTCTCTTAGCCAACCTTTTCTCTTCTTTCTTCTTCTTAAACAGCTCAGGTATCTCTCTTCTGATTGAAGAAGTCACAAATATTGACATTAGCGATGAATACAGAAATCCCCTGCTGCCACCCCATCGGTGCACAGGGAATCAAAAAGTGAACTCGCAAATTTGAACTGAAGATTTATCTGCGTTGTGAAGATTTATCTTCTTTAGACAGTGCGTTGTGAAAAGTAAACACGAGAACGAGTTTCATTTGTAAGAAATCTTAAAAAAAGTCCAATCTGATTGGCCAATCTTGACTAATTCAAAAGCTAAACACTTGTAAAAAGGATGCAAAATGAGAATTTGTTTAGCTCACGGAAATATTTTTCCTTCTGTTACCTTTTCCTTTTCCTTCTCCTTTTTCCTTCCTTCTGTTGTCAGAGATTAAAATTTAAATTCTTCAAAAGATCCAAAATCATTTTTGTGCTAAAAATTGAAAGAAACGGTTCAAGATCTGGCTGTACTTTGTGCTCAAGGAAACATAAGCTTTCTAGCACATCCAATACATTCTTGGGAGATCAAGTAAAGAAGAATCTTTATTGAATCGTTTGTGGAGACAGAACCCAATAAAACAGGTCTTGAACAATGACAATGTAGATCATTTTCCCAATCTGTTGTTCTGTAAGCTGTGAACTCAAAGCTAGAATACGTTTTTGCATATGATTCTCAGTCTCGATGTAAGAGGTGTGGCACAAATAAAACCCACAAAAAGACAAGAAGAAGCAAGCATGATCAGATTGGGTCATCACATAAAAAGGTGTTCACTCACTCGTTATCGATGTGTGGGGAAAAGAAAAGGGTGTATTGTGTGAGTGCAGGTCTGGCCCTTTTCTTGCCCTTTTCCTCGCCTCTTCACATTCAATGGGTGCCAATGGGTTTCCCTTTCCCTTTGTCTCCTTCTTTTCCGGGGTCGACTCCACCCATTCCGCTTGTTCCGCTTTCTTTCCGCTTCTCACCCTCTCAACTCTTGGATACTATAAATATTCAGCTGATTGATGGTGCCTAGTGAGTGTCTTCTTCTCATCATTTGGTGGTAAGAGTCCCATTCAACGAACTCTCAACGAATCATGCAACGATTGACTCCGATTATGTGAGTTTTCGGAAATTGGCCCTTATCTTCTGCCTAAGGACGAACTCTACCCTTTTTCTAAAGTTTACAAAAGTGCATTATCTACTTTGCCCTGTACCAAGCTACACTACTTTTTCTTGCTTATCTAAACAAATTGATTACGATAGCAATCAAAGTCCTCAAAGGCCATCATCACCTTAAACACCCAACATTCCTATCCTTTATCAATGCCCATTTTCAGTCTGTGTTCTCTCTTGGCTTTGGGCACTTGCCAATTGCCTCCAGCGGCCCAATGGCCTTTCTATGGCCGATATTTCTCTCCAGCTAAACCACTCATCACTGAGGGAGTGATGGCGCCCGTTGTCGCACCAGCCCCTTTGGTTTGTATCATTTCTTTAATTGGGCGATTAGCATTTTCTACCATTTATCTACATATCTTTTTAATGATTGATGTTCCAGTTGGCCCCGGCTCCCATTTTGGCTGCTCCCGCTCCAGTCTTTGCCGCTCCTCCGCCACCACCAGTTTTTGCCGCTCCACCACCAGTTTTCGCTGCTCCACCACCAGTTTTTGCCGCTCCACCACCAGTTTTCGCTGCTCCAGCTCCAGTGGTGAGTTGATTAAACTGGGGAAATTCTGTATTCTAACAAATAACTCTAATTGGACATTTAAACCATTTATTTTCCAGTTGGCCGCCCCAGCACCAATCCTTGCCGCCCCGGCTCCACTCTTCGCCGCTCCCATCCCACCAGTGGTGAGTTTATCATATTACTTTCGTATTTAACTACAGAATGCTATTTCTAAACCTACTACACAATGCTATTCCTACTACAGAATGCTATTTATCTTTGTTCAAAGCTCTTATTTCGAATTCCAGGCTGTCCCAGCTCCCGTCGTTGCCCCAGCTCCATTCCCCGGATACCCAGTTGCTCCCGTTGGACAAGCTCCTCCAGTCCCAGCCCGTATAAAATTATTATATAAAATTAAAAACAGATCAAAATCACAAATGGTTAACCATCATATTTCACAATTTTCAGCAGCCTTGAACCCATGCGGTGCCCCAGGATGTGCCCTTCCCCCACCACCAGCTCCTCCAGTCTACGCTCCCATCCCGCCACCACCAGTCCCAGTTGTAAGTCTTGCGTGGATCTTAAAATAAATCATCTATAGAATCTTAGCAAATTGTTAAGAAAATATATTTACTTGAAAGTTTCAGATGGCTGCCCCAGTTAGACCGGTGTTCGCTGCCCCGGCTCCAGTCTTGGCCGCCCCAGCACCCCTTCTTGCCCCACCAGCCCCATTGGTGAGTACTTTATTTAAAGAAACAAATACAGTATGGATATAGACAACCTTACAAGAACTATTTTCAGTTTCAGAAATCTTTAACTTTTATGCTGTCTACTATATAAAAGAGCAGTCTATCTGTCTATCTGTACAGGCATTTCCTTGGCCATGTTTTTACCAATAAAGCTAAAACGTCTTTAGAAACCTTTAGAAATATATTTAATTAAAAGTTTCAGATGGCTGCCCCAGTTAGACCGGTGTTATATTGTAGTTAAAAATTTTTTAGAAAAACAAAGTTGAGTGAAAGATTTGGGAATCGAACCCGAACCGTGTGGGCTGTAGAGAAGCGCGCTACTGACTGCGCCACGGTGACAAAGAGTTGAACTCAGAAAAACCCGCTGTTAAGCAGGTTTTTTGGCTGATCTTATGGATCAGCCTTAGCTTTAACCTTTAATAGAGGAATAGAGCTTCAATAGGGGAATTTGAGATCAACATAACATTGTCAAATATTTCTGTTTGCCGTTTCCTCTTTGTTTTCATTTTTCCTTTCACATTTCACATTCAGTATTCGGGTCCAGTGGCTGCCCTTCCGCGGCCTATCTTCGCCGCTCCCGCTTTCTTTCCATCATTGGTTCGGATTTAGAAAGAAACAAAACCTCCAAAACCCCCAAAAAATGAAATATCGAATCTAAGAAGTCTAATCTTGATTAGTTAATAGTCTTGATTAGTCAGCTCCCTCTTATCTAACGTTTTCTGATCCCTTTATAGAGTTATTGTTTTTAGGTAGCTCCAGGACCAGTCTTGGCCGCGCCGGCTCCAGTTCTCGCCCCGCCAGCACCATTGGTTTGTTGAATTATTTGTTTAAAATGCAAATTCTATATATTCTAATACACAATCTAAACTAATTTCTATAAAATTTGACCTTGTTTTCAGCTCGCTCCAGCCCCAATGGCTCCCCTCCTTGCCCCGGCACCGCTGGTATGATTTCACCTTGAGAAAATGTTAAACTTCTAACTGTTTCACATTCAGTACCACTGAATAACTATATATAGATAGCTTATTATATTTATTCATTTCCTACTTGATCCAGTTTCCTTACAATCACAATTGCAGTTGGCCCCAGCTCCAGTCTTGGCTCCACCTGCCCCAATCTTCGCCGCCCCAGCACCCGTCGTGAGTTTACTGGAGAATTGATAATTAATATTTTTCTATACCTAAAATTAACATTTAAATATATAAAGACTACTATCAGCTAAGTATAGACAAAAATACCCATTTCGATTCCCAACATTTCTAGGTGCCTGCCTATGCTCCGTTCGCGCGAGCAGCCGTCTTTATTGGAGCGAACAAAGCAAAGAAAAACTGAATAGCTGAATAACTGAATATCTTTTGAAATGTCTTTTTTTTCCTCTAAATGGGTCTCACTTCATCGGTGAATTGCATTTTGATTTTGATTTTCGGTGAACATCTTTTCTGGAGATTCTTTTTGGGCATTGACAGTACCCAAAAATGGATTGCTAGGAAATTGTCTGTAAATATTTGCTTTGTTTCATTGCTTTATTTTCTATGTTTTAATCTATTCCTTTATTTGTTTTTGATGAAACTTTTGATGCAGCCAGTATCAAGAGATTGAATCAAAGACGAGAATAAAGCTATTGAGAAAAGCGCTGAATAGAAGACGCAAAACAAAGGGAAATTCAAAGTCCAAGTTTTGCAAAGAATTTTGTACTATTTTGTACTATTTTGTACTATTTTCTTTGCTAAACTTGCACAGTTTAGGCGAGGCTGAAAAGGAAACAAAGAGTCTACCAGAGTGTTGTTTTAAATCCCCAAATTTTTAAGATCAAACTATTGACTTCCACCGGTGACAATATTTTTCAAAAATTTTTGCTAAGATTCTGAAAATGCGTGTCTAGGGGTTATTTTTGACGCTGATCACGAAACACATGTTTTTAGCCTAGGTTTCTGCACGGAAAACTAACGAAACGTGAAAGCAGCCATTTTTTTTGGCTCTGCCGCCTTTTACTAAAATAGCTGTAAAAACTTTTAGAAAAGAGATATCTCAAAACGGTTTTTACCAATCGATCCGTCTTGAATTCAGCTTTAGGATGAGCTATAAAACGTCAAAATTCGACAAATTTAAGGTACTCTCCCAAAAAATCCGAAAGGACTTTTCCATCAACCCAATAGATTGGAAGCTTTTTGGGGGCCTGGTTCGAACTAGAGTTCGAACTGTTCCTCTTTCTTATACTATTCTTGTCTTGCAAAAGTTTCCAATTCTTGATAATAACTTTTTTTTTTGCAGTGAAATGAAATGAATATCAGGTGAGAGAACCCGTTTTTCTCTCTTTTCTTTCTTTTGCGAAAATGAAAGGAACAAATTGATCGATATCTTGCTGAGAAACCAATATCCCAAGCACTACTAAAATAATCAATTCAGGTTTGCTATCGTTTAAATCTATCGTTTAAGAAATATATTTCAATTCTTTATCGAGATGATGCGTGAAGAAAACGAGATTTTCTACTACGCCGCCGAGGGTTCAGTGGTAACAAATTTGTTAAATGGAAATCTTTAGATAGCTTTTAAAGATAGATAGCTTTTAAAAAATGAATTCTATTTCAGAGTGATTTGGAAAAACACATCAAGAAGTACCCGAGCTCTCTTCATAGTAAAGATCATCGAAATAGGTAAGGAAAAGATCTAGAGATTAAAGCTAAAGTTCATAAATGAATAAGTTATTAAAAACGGGTTGATAATTGGTTGATAATTAGTTTTTAAAGAAAAAAGAAATCCGAAATAAGGCCGATTCTCACTAAAACAAAATTGAGTACAGTAAAAATAAAGTAGAATCCAAAAATTTGAACACGCCTCCAGTTGAGAAAGTAAAACGCATTTTTTGAAATATGATGGTTAACCATTTCCAACCAGAGTGCGTTGGATGAAAGTATTGTGTGTTCAACAAACCCATATTTTGCCTCATTTTTTTATCTATTGGATTGGTGAATTGAAAACTGCCGGCTATTTCGCGGGACTCGCAGATAAAAGGGATTCATTTAGGGATTCATTCACCTTTTCCAACTGTTCACTGTATTTGATTGCATTAAGGGTCGTCTTGCTATCCAGCAACTCCCAATACACCATTCCCAGTTTTCAATTCACCAATCCAATAGTTTCTGGAACTTCAGAAAAAATTCTGATATTTTTTTTAGAATGCCAGTACATTCCAATATATTAGAGAAAATCGATGAGCAAATCGTTACAGCATTCAAGCGAAGGTTTGACCCTCAAGAAGCATTGCCAAGATGTTTAGAAACACTTTTTCGACGATCTGCAAGATCTACCGAAAATGGAAACAAACAAAACAAACAAACCGGAAGTGTAAAGAGAGCTGCGGTCAAAGGAAGGCCTCGAAAACTTAGCAAAAACTTGTCTTTTTAAATTATTTAAAGTTTCTAGAATACGAATAGGTCTCCTATCTTGCATTGTGAACACTTTTACACTTTTACATCTCACTTTTTGGCTGGAGAACCTATTTGTTCATCTTCTGACCCGATTTTATCCCATTCAAACAAAATATTTGAAAGAGTTTTTAGATTGAAGATCTTGGGGAGATTCCAAGGATTATTTTGGTACCCATACGCCTCGATCGGTTCAGTCAAACATTCTGAAAACACTTTGCAAAGTCGATGCTATCAAAAAGATCCCATTTTCCTGTGTTCAATGAGGTCTTTTGTGACTTTTTCATTCATGAGTTCACAAGCTTTTACGTCACCCGAAACTAGTTCATCCGAAAAAAAGGTGTGTCCAAACTTTTGGATGCCTGAAAAAACCTTTTGGACTCATGGAAAACGACCCAGGAAATAAAAACTACAAAAGTTGAAGTAAAATCAAAAGAAGTTCCAGAAACTAGATAAAAAATGACAGAAAATATGCGTTTGGTGAACAAATAATACTTTCATCGAACGCGGTCTTGGTGCGTTTTACTTTCTCAACTGAGGTTGTTTCCAAATTTTTGGGCTTTATTGTAACTTTTGATTAAGTTTTCTGTAAAATTAATAAAGTAAATCGTTTTATCAATAATTGCCCAGGTATTAAAAGGTGAAATCGTGTTTTTAACCAAAAAGGAAGCTCCCTATACCGGACAGGTTTGCCAGGTCGTGCGCGAAAAAACACTTTGCCGTGTCATTTTATACAGTGATTTTTCTTTTGCTTTGTAGATGGCCTTAAATGAAGAGATTCAGCTGGAAATTTGTGCAAATTATATGTGTTGTGTCCGATTTAGATTCCCGTCCGATTTAGATTGAACTTATCGCGGACGTCCGATTTAGATTACAGTATATATCGGACACAACATATATAAGATTTAGATTGAATCTAAATCGGACGTCCGATATAGACTGTAATCTAAAGTGGACGTCCGCGATAAGTCCAATCTAAATCGGACGGAAATCTAAATCGGACACAACATATGCATTACTACAGCCAACTGCCGATAATTTGGTTTTAGTGAGAATCAGTCCTAAATCAGGCTCTTTTAAAAACGCAGTTTTTTTCATTGTCAAATCCATGTATTTTTAGAACTCCGCTTGCCCACACTGCACTCACCGACAAGGAGAAAAATGCACAATTGTTGTTAAAGTGGGGAAAATAATATTAGAATAATACTAGAATAATTTGCAGTACGAAGCAATCACTAAATTATCAGAAAACAAACAAAAAAAGAAAAGGTTTTATCTTGGTGAATTCGAATGATTCTTTTAGAAAAGGTTTATCTTGGTGGGACGAGGATTCGAATGGAGGAACGGCCATTCATTGGGCGACAAAATGTGCATCGATTCGTGTAATTCGAATGATTCTACAAAATGGGAAAACACCGACGGTGGGTCAAACCAAAGCTGGCCAAGCCAAAACGAAATCTGGCTTGGCTAGCTAGATCTGGCTTGGCTAGCTAACTAAAACTTAACTTCAACGTAAACTTGGTCACTTTCAGGGAATTCCGCCATGTTTGTTGAAAGATAAAGACGGCGTAACACCAATTCATATCGCTTCTCGCCGACCCAACGATAAAGTTCTCAAAGTGAGCGGATTTCTTATTTGAAAAACTTTAAAAAATGTTTTCAGATTCTTGTGGAGACATTGAAGGAGAAAGTCACGAAAGAAGAGCTTTTACTGGACACAAAAGGAAGAAGTCCGATTCATTATGCGGCGGCGAGTTGCTCATATGAGTGTTGTCAGTTGCTGATTGGTGAGTTAATAAAAACGGTAGTTGACCGTGCAATTCCCTCAGCAATCAGTGATTTTAAGTGAGTGATTGTTGATTTATCTGCAAAGGTAGAAAAGCTTTTGAATCCTGAGAAGAGAATGTCAGCTGGTGGCCAACTGACATGTGCCACGGGTTAGATGCAGAATTCAACGCCGATTCCTAATGTTTTCCGTTTCTGTTATGGAGTACTCTGTCAAAAGTTATAAGCATGCAAAATTTTGTATGGGATTTAAAAAACCATCTCTCGAGTTTATAAGTAGATATCCCAGATGTTTAAAGAAGCAGTGATGGCTGAGTGGGAGTCGGTTAGAATACCAGGCAAACTCTCTAGAATCTCTAGCAAACTCTAGTTCGAGTCCGCCGTTCGACTCCTTTCTTTTGCTTTTTTTGGATTTGCAAATTTAATTGTTCTTTGTTTCAAATACAAGTTTATTTTAAACTAGTTCTCATAAAAATCTTTACTTTTAACTATTAAGATCAAAAAGTTATCATTAAAATTCAAAAAAATAACATCAATGATGACATCGTTGATGAAAAGATGAAAAGGGAAAATAATAGTTTGACTACAGTAACGACAGGCACATGTCATTTGACCACTACACCCAGTTAACATTCCCTTGTGAGTCAGTGTTACTGTTTTAAGTGTTCAAGTGCTTCACTCCTTGCCAGTCACTCGTTGACGAAAAGATGAAAAGGGAAAATAATAGTTTGACTACAGTAACGACAGGCACAAGACTCTCCGAAATCTGCTTATAAATTCGAGTGATGGTTTTTAAAATCCCATACAAAACTTTGCATGCTTATAACTTTTGACAGAGTACTCCATATCAGAAACGGAAGGCAGATTCGGAATCGGCGTTGAACTCTGCGTCGAATAACTCGTAGCACATGTCATTTGACCACTACACCCAGTTGACATTTCCTTATGAGTCAGTGTTACTGTTTCAAGTGTTCAAATGCTTCACTCATTGCTAGTCACTCGTCAATTCGCTTCTCAACGACCTAATGATAAAGTTTTATTGAATGAACAAAAAGTTTTATTGATATCCTTTGAAAGCATTTTACTTCTAGATTCCGAAAATCTAAACCTTTTGGTCGATCAAAAAGATGTTTACATGCAGAGTCCGCTGATGTGCGCGGCTGGGGTTCGACTGCCACAAGGTATTGTAGTTTAAAGAAATGGAACTTTCGAAGCGTCAGGTGGAACAACGTAGTACTGTCAAATGATTACAGTAACTATCTGTTCACAAGTTGACCAAGTTATCTTTTGTCGCATTTAAGCTGTCAATGTGGTGCTTCTCCTGGGCAAACGAAAACCCCCAGCACTTCCACATCGAACGATTGATGGACAAACTGGTAAACTGAAATCAAATTCAGCTTTATCAAGGCCTAAAACTCGAACTGTACTTGTCTATTGTTCAATTCAAACTACAGTACTTCAATGAGTTAGTGCCGAATGAAAATCATGTTTAGCGCTACATTTGGCTGTGGCCGCTGATAATATTCCAGTTGTTGATGCACTTTTGAATGAACTTGGAGCGCCAATACATGTAAGATTAACCATAAATAGCTGAATATCCATAAATGGCTGAATATTTATTAACAATTTTCTCTTTCAGGTTCACGACAACGACTACCGTACCCCGTTACATTATGCGGCTGATATGGGAAATTTGAATGCTATCGAGAAATTGACTGCGAAAGGGCTGAAAAACACAAAAGATCGGTAGGAATTTGGAAAATATGGGAAAAATACTAGCAAGAATACTTAAAATATCGAAAACTTACCATTTTTATTATTTTTAGAGTTACAAACAAAATGAAATGAGAAAAATTTGCTTTTCTTTAGCTTCAACGTCTCTTGCGCCCATTATGCAGCTCAAAATAGCGGCAAAGCGATGGCATTGTTGTTGAAAACGCCAACTGGAACATATAGAGTTAAGAGAGATTATATTATATTTGTAGTTTTCTTTAGGAAGTTAAAGACGGCGAGAATCGGAGTTGTTTTATGTGGGCGGTGGTTGCGGGGAATATCGATGCAATCGAGTTTCTTCTTCAGAATTGCCCGCCTAGTCGCCATGAAATCGTAAATTGTTCACATTACTTAGGACCGATTCAAAACCAAGTATCGGCAGGTAGCTGTAGTAGTACATCATTTTTTTGTACAAATTTATAGCCCAATTCTTTTTAAACCATCTACAAAGCAAGAGAAATCCATGTAAATGACTGTCGAGGTGTTCTTTGTGTGCGCGCACAAACGCTCGCCATCTGGCAAACCCCTCTGGTATGGGTGAGGGACTGAGCCCGCCTCGAAGTCACGAGTTAGAGACCAAAAATCAGCCACTTCTTTGTAATAAGGCTTTTTCCACCGCCTCGAAATGCGGTCCCGTAGTATAGTGGATAAGAGACTTGTTTCCGAAACAACCCGTCGAATCCTCGCTTGGGTTCGATCCTTTCCCTCTATTTTCGTTTTATTTTGATGTTTAATAGCTTTTAACTTTACAATAAGTATTATGATATCTTTGAATTGATAACAAAAACAAAAAAAATATTTTCCCGCAACATCCCAATTCAATCCGCTCTTTCCAAAACATGAACATATTTAAAATTTTTCCTTTTCAGGACAGTCACGGTTTGACCGCTTTACATTTGGCGGCTCTAATGGGAAATGAGAGAGTGTGCAAAATTCTCATCAAACAAGGATGGCATTTGTCGGTGAGTTGAAAAAAAACTGTTAGTTGTTGGCAAGAATTCTCCAATTTTTCTCAATTTAAGGGCGGAGACAAGAACTTCGCGACTCCAATCCATCTGGCTGCGGGACGGGGACACACCGATGTTGTTTCATGTCTTGTGACAGCTGGAGCCGACATGAAAGCTGTCGATTTTATGGATAGGTTTGTTCCTGATGCTTACGAGATATTTAACTTTGTTCTCAATCCTGTAGCTGAAATCCTTAATCGATTAGCCAACCTTTCCAGAACAGCCATTTTCGCCTCGTGTTTCGGTGGACAAGCGCACACACTTTATGTAATGATTAGAGGTTATTCTATTTTCTTGTTTGAGAAAATTTTGTTTTAGAATTGGGTTTTGAATGGAGAACGGCTGTGGAGAATCAGGTAAAGAAAAAGGTCGCGAAAAATATAAAAAACCATTTCCAGAGTCGTCCGATCACGGATGCAATGGGGCGAACGCCATTACATGCAGCCGCCTATGGCGGTTTCTCTCATTGTATCACACAAATGTTGAAAGTATGAGAGTAGTTTCCTCTAGTTTAAGTATGAATGGGAAAAGCTTAAAAAAACGAGTAAATTTTCCCCGTTGTCAGATCGAAGAAGAAGACCCGACAGCTCTTTGTATTCCGTTGGTCGGTGCGGTGGATAATAATTCGGAGACGGCTCTCCATGTCGCTTCATATCGAGGTAAACAAACTGATATTTACCAGGAATTAAAGCCAAATATTCAATTGACCTTGGGTTGAAATTTCAACTGTACCGTTAGATATTTGGCTTGGTTTGACCTTGGCTTTGGCTTGGCCTGGCTCTTTTTTCAATCCTGATTACTTTTCAATCTACCATACTATCAATCTATCAAAATCTTATTTTAAAAAATAAGTTCCTGATCTGCTTAACACATTCGCGACTAGAGTGTGTTTCTCGCGAGTAATGCGTTTTTTAAAACGCACACTTGCAAAAAATTAAAATTACCGTACCTTTAGCGAAAATTATTGTAAAAAATTGACGCGAAAAAATCATGAGCCTGGGTTATATCTGACTCTTTTTAAAAAATATTCAGCTGTTTAACTGATTTGGTGGGAAATTCCCTTCAAATGTAAAGATTTTCAATTTACTCTACGTGTAAAGAGAATTACTCGTAGTTACTCAACAAAAAATGTCGATTAATCGAGGAAAAATTACTCCAGTAATTATTTACTCGCAAGGAACACACTCTATTCGTGACGATGGCATTTTGGACGTACAGTCACGTAGTCGTTAACGGTTTTATTGAAAATTTGGGGAAGATTCAAAGATAAATTAAACTATTATAGCCATTTGATAGCCCTATCTCCTCTTGAAAACTAGTACAAAGTTATCGAGAACTTTCTGCGAAATGAATAACAAAAGACCTTAAAAACTTGTTGACACCAAAAATATCCATCATTAGTACGGTCAGTTTTGTAACGGTCCAGAAGATGAGCCTTGCTTTCGTTGTTTCCATTCAACTCCCCAAACCACCATACAGTTAGTTTTGGCCTTCATTGTGGTCCGGCTACGAAAAGTTTCGAATTCTCCACTCGGCTCCCAAATGGAAATAGATTGCTTTCTCATTTCAAAGAGAAGCACAAAATTTATTGCGTAAAACAATACTTTCAATTAATCTGACAAAAACAAATGATTTGAAAACGAAAAAGAAACGACGACGCGGCGCTCCCATCGACTACCTCTAAATGGCGGCGACGTCAATTGGAATGCGACGTCGCGCAAAAACATTTAAAATCTGCAACAGAAATACAAATCTAACATGAAAACGTTCCGAAAAACACATTATTTTCTCTGAAGGTCATTCTCTACTGGCCCATCGGTAGGTTGTATCGTCGTGAATGTGTTAATCGGAATGATTGAAAGTTAATGGGATGTAGGATGATGAGTGTAACATGTTAAATGCTACAATATGAAAACAACTCTACAATAGAAAACCGTTTTAGGCCGTTTGGATTGTGTGTTGGTTTTGTTGAATCACGGAGCGGCAATCAATGCAGTCGATCACAATTTGAGGACACCGTACAAATGTGCGCTTGATGCTGGACATAAAGCGGTTGGGCTATGAAAAATTGTCTTGATTTTCTTCATGTTAATTGTTAACGTTTGACTCGTTTAAGGTAGCCGATCATCTGCGTGCTCAAGGCGCTCTTCTTTATGATGAATTGTGCTCTTTGGCCGCGACAATTATTCAAAATTGGATTCGAACGATTCTAGAGGAAAAGAAAATGAAGAGGAAAATCCAATTGCAAGATCCGCCGTTTGGAAATCAAAGAAAGAATAGCCAAAGGATTTTAGAGAAAAACGATTAGTGAGCTGGAATAAATTATTGTTATTTTTTGAATAAACATCTCAATTTACTCAAAACATACAGTCATTCTTATTACTATGAAAAAAGGGTACTGTAAGACTGTAAGATGAGTCTTTTTTTGAATTTAATAAGCTTAGTATGACGAGAATTTACTTAGAATCTGTAACTGAACTGTAACTGAACTGAACAGTTGCAACCGTTCAGTTTAACTGGCATTGCTTTGACTTTAAACTGTCATTGTCATTGCCATTGGCAGTCTAAAGGCAAAGAAATTGTAAAGATTGCACTAATAGCTAGATTTTAATAGGAAAGATAGAGTAATTGCTAGTGGTAATTGGTTTAGAAGTTCAGATTTGGGGAATTATTTTTCTGCTCATTAACTTGGCATCATAAATTGTCCATATCTTTTGCAAAGTACAGACAATTTTCCAAGAAGCCCATTTGCTCAAGATTTTCATAAAATAATCCTTCTTTTCTTTCTTTCTTCCTTTCTTCTCCCCCCTTGTCTTCCCCTCTTTCTCTTGACGAGTTAAGGTACGCTAGGATAGCTCAGCGATTAGAGCAATTTCCCAGGGTCGAGCAAAAGGTCTAGAGTTCAATCCCCTCTCCGGGAATCTGCTTTCACTTGCCAACTCTTTCTTTTGCCAACTCTTCACTTCTTTTTCATTGTAATCTAATCTTTCAATGTTTCCAGTTAAATGGATGATAGCTTCCCAATCGATTTCTTGCCAAGAGAGTTGAAATGCACAATTTTCAAGCAACTCAACTCGACTCAATTGCTGAGGATTCGACGGACAAATCGATCAATGAAATATGCAATAAATCGAGTTGGTTTTGAGGTTGAAAACAAAAATCTCCTTTTTTCTAGATCTCTCCAATCCCTCGTCAAATCACAACTTGTCAAATCGATATTTATGGGGTAAACATTTCAAAATCTTTGTGCTTTCACAAGAAACTTTAACGTTTTCAGAATGGTTTCGCGTGGGAAACAAATGGAGAAGATTTTCGAGGGATTTTCAATAATTTGATGTCGAAAAGTCGTTGGTTTGTTGTAGTCGGCTTGTTGTAGTGTTGAAAGAGTCGAAAGATTTAAACTAGACATTTGCATTTTCGGTCCGTTCGTCGATAGGTGTACAACGGAAATTCACGTCTTAAACCCTTTAAAATCGATCTTTTCAAACGTTTTTTTAAACAGTTGGATAGCATTTTACAAGTTCTATTTAATAGTGAAAAAAAACGTTTGAAAAAGTCGATTTTAAAGGGTTTAAGACGTGAATTTCCGTTGTACGCCTATCGATGAACGGACCGAAAATGCAAATATCTAGTTTAAATCTTTTGACTCTTTCAGCTCTTTCGACGAAATATCTCGAAAAGCGGTTCGTCGTTGGCTGATCTTTTTGATGAAACACTCGAAAATTCGCGATATTCAAATCATCGAGATGCAGGTAATCTTCATTTAACACGTTCGGGACGATTCGGTCCACCGGTGGACGAAGGCCGTCTGGCCCCTGGGGCGGTTCGGTCCACCGGTGGACGAAATTTTTGACGCGCTATAACTTTTCAACTTTTTAAGATAATTTCAAAATGTAAAAAGATTCGATTAGTTCTAATCAAGAACTATAAGGTTGCGCTTGGAGAAAGAGAAATGCGGCGTTTTGTCTCACGAGCCAAAAAGAGCCGATATCTTTTTGAGGCAGCAATATTTTCAAAATCTGATTAGAGATTCGGATTCAGCATGAAATTTTACATATAGGAGGTGTATTTCGGGGCTAATAGCTTTGCGAGACACTGAGGCAGTAACGCAAAAAACGCCTCGCCGCGAATGTGTTAAATTCTTTTTCAATTGTTCAAATTTTTGGTATTAAACTCTCAGAAACGATCCTGTATTTTAAATTTTAGAGAAATTCCTCTCAAAAAGCTCAATTTAATCAATTTCAGTCTCTTCAACACCCAAAACTCATCGAAATCCCACGAAATTTCTATCAAATCGAATCAATTCTCCTTCAATCAAAGCACCCAATTTTTGACTTCACCGAATGGGAAAAATCTGTGAGAAATCTGAAACTTTACAAGGTAATGAATAACAATAAACTTAATGAGTCAAGTTTTCTAATTCAAAATACTCGCAAATGTTTAGAACCACTCGATCACTCTCTCGTTTGAAATCAATGAAAGTGATGAAGTTCTTGAGAAAAAAATTGTAAGTTGAAGTTTAAAAACTATGAACAACTAAAAATTAAACAATTAAAAAGACTAAAATTTATGTAAACTTGTCAAAATCAAAGATTTCCAGGTGAGTCAAGCAAAGAAAGTGAAAGTCACTCGCTTACATTTGAAAGAAACAGGCATTGAGGTGGGATTTTATTGGGTTGGTGAATTGAAAACTGCGGGACTTTGAACTAAAATTTATTCAACATAAAACCATGAATTGATTCCAAATAATTTCCATTATTATTGACGACTTCTGCCCATTTTACAGGCAATTTGCGGATTCCTCTTTCGTAGTAGGATTTTGGTTTGTGTGTGAGACAAGTGTGAGACTCAAAAATCGAGGACTGGAGATTTCCCAGTTTGTCCAGTTTGAGCACTTTCTTCAAAAGAAACCCAATTTGGTGTCAATAGAAAAGTTGTAGAGAATCAAAAGTTAGGCTTATAGCCAAATTTCCAAAAAGATACACTTAGTAGTTTCGCTTAAAATGCAAGTTTTGTGAAAATTTGAAGTTTTGAATCGTTCTGAAAATTTGGCTATAAGCTTGATTTTTGATTCTCTACAACTTTTCCATTGACACCAAAATGGGTTTCTTTTGAAGAAAGTGCTCAAACTGTCACATATGACAATAGCCCGCAGTTTTCAATTCACCAACCCAGTAAAAGAAAAATTCACAAAGTTTATTCAAAATCTGTACAAGAATTTGAAAAACTATACTCCAATAAGATTTCAGAGTCTTCTTTACTCGAAAATTCTTGATTTGGAGGTATTTATCGAGTTTGAAATGATGGCCGATTTTGTTAAGGTTTGTTTTGGCGTTTGATCATGAATTTCTTCTAATCAAAATTCAAAAAAGTTAAAATAAAATCGATAAAATCAATGCTTTATCAATTTTATTTTCTAAAAGAGTTTAAAATGAATGTTTTAATAACACGTTCTCTTCTAGAAACTATTCACAGGGAAACTCGCCGATTCTTTTCGATATCGCAAATTTCTCTTCAATCCTGAGACCTATATGGCTTATCTTTCACAGGTTTTAGATTTAAATGTAAATAATTTATGGTTATAAGTAAGTAGCAATAGATTGGACTAATAAATCTAATAAATTAACCTAACAATCTATTGTTATCTATTGTTTTCGGTTTCTAAAAGGTGAGCCCAGAAAAAGCTACTGTAAGCGAATCTGCGACCTCTTTCTGGTGGCTCCTAAGCGCCAAGTTCAACTCTAATTTGTTAAGTATTATTTAAAATATTGAAGCCCTTAATTTTGGCTACATTTATCTATTAAAAGTTTCCCGATTGGAGATGTACAACTCATTTTACAAGCTATTGAATACAACTCATTTTACAGTTGATCCCTCTCCGGCACGCTGCCATTTTCGACGATTTTCTTCAATCAGAAAGAGTTTCTTTCGGCCAAACTTGTATTTTGTCTAAAAATTATTTCAAAACAAATTTATAGCAATATAAGAAGGAGCACATACGAACTGAACATCTAAAAATACTTAATTGTCACTTTTTTCCTTGTGTCACCAAGGGAACTTGACTTCAACCCAAAATTGAGTAAGACAATTTGGTCAAAAACAGTTCTTAATATTATTAAATGATGTTAAATAATATTTTAACATAAAATAAATATCGAAAAACTTTCTCTGCGAATTTATTAGAATCAAAAAATCGTCGAAAATGGCAGCGTGCTGGAGAGGGATCAACTGTAAAATGAGTTGTATTCAATAGCTTGTAAAATGAGTTGCATATCTCCAATCGGGAAACTTTTAATAGATAAATGTAGCCAAAATTAAGGGCTTTAATATTTTAAATAATACTTAACAAATTAGAGTTGAACTTCTTGGCGCTTAGAAGCCACCAAAAAGAAGTCGCCGTAAATACTGAGCACCCTATATAGGCAAGAAGTTACAAAAGAAACAACATGCAGCCAGCTACAAAAGAAACAAGATATAAAACTATCGTAATCTTTCTCAAAGTTACTCTTTCAAGAGTTGAAACGTTTTAGAAATCAAATGTGAGCTATAATCTTTCTTTTTGAGGGTCGTGAAGAGCGGGTTTTTCTTTGGGAAAACCCATCAATTCTCTGGTCTTGTCTCACGCATTTTGTTCTAAATGAACCAAAGGAATTCTCGGATTGTTTGAAATGGAAAAACGATGAGAATCTCCAGTATTCACAGATCATTCAAATTGGTCATTTCTTGAAGTTTTCTCGAATGAAAATTCATTTCGAGGGGAGTTTTGTCGGGATTTTCGTTGAGCTTTTTGATGCTTGTTGAAAGATTTTTGAGTATACAAAATTGTGAGGTCTCATTGTGATCATTTTTCTCTATTGTTTTTCAAGTTAATAAAGCTGGAAAGTGCTTAATGTTTCTCTCTGTGGCGAATTGCCACTGCTCTGCAGTTAGTCAAAAATTCAATACAAGTTAAAATTCAAAGTTAATGGATAAACTACCGTAATCAGTCACTAGATGATATTCAGCTGTCCGTTTGTTGTAGCTTGTATACTCAAAAACCCGTTTTTTAAGCTTTGCTTTTGAGTGAGTTTTTGTTCTCCTTTTTTGCTTTTTATCATCCCTTTTTCAAATGCAAGTGTTGAATTAATTGTGATAGTGCCAGGTTGCTCTAATTTGAGCGAAGTTGCCCTAATAAGTGAAAGTTGGATAAATTGTGCGTTTTCAAGAAGACCACTACTGAACCAACTGCGCATCAACATATATTTCTTACACTCTCTAACTTTTTAATGTTTAATTAATCTATTTATTGTGTCGAAAATCTTTATTCTACATGAGTCAAAATCTCGGCTATTTTTGTGATCTTTTCGGCTGGCGAGAATTCGCTATCATTTTGTCGATTCTTCGGATCGAAAAGGAGGGATTTTGCTCCGGAAATTCCTCGCTCCGTGGAAATCTTTTGCAGGTGATCACCTGAAATTTGAAACAGAAAGCTATCTTTGATAAAAATGTAAAAAAACTTTGAGACTTTTGCTGAGACTTTGAGACTTCCCAACTCTTTCTCAATATTTCTTTCTTTTACACATAATTTGAATTAACTTTAGCCATAAAAAGCCATAAAAAGTCATAAAAGCTATGAGAAAATCTACTGACTATAAGGTTTAGGAACAAACAGTAAAAAGAACAAAAAAACAAAAAACCAAAGGAAAACAAAGCAAAAAACCAACAAATGCTGAACTCAAACGATTTTTATCTAAAAAAACCTTAAATCTCACCGATATGCAGCAAATGTTTGGGTGATTTGAGGTGGAAATGATCGGTGACAAGCTGAAAAGTGTACAAAATTTAAAATTTCCCCAAGCTCACTTCGAAAATTCGTGAATTAGGCTTTTCGATGCCCACTTCACCACTCAAAACGACCAATTCGAGGAGGGAAGACAAGTGGAAATCCTGGAAAAAGATAAAATATAGAAAGCTTAAAATACATCAGCTTTTCGCTTAAGCCTGAGCCTAAGCCTAAGCCTGAGCCTAAGCCTAAGCCTAAGCCTAAGCCTAAGCCTAAGCCTAAGCCTGAGCCTAAGCCTAAGTTTTCCGATTTCTTACATCAAGCAATTTCTTAAGACGAAAATCGAAATTCGAGATGACAGCCGTGTGGATTCCCTTTAAACGGAGACGCTCCAGAATGGGAATCGTCTGAAAAAAACACAAGAAACTTGTAACGAAAATGTCTGGTTCTTTTTTGTCGTTGGTAATTTAAGGTTCATCGTGTTTTTCAAACTATTTTGATTATCATTCGATGCAGAATTTTGACTCTTTTGATTATCATTCGATGTAGAATAAAATCGCGCGTCGAATGATACCAAAATGAACTCAAAATATAATATCCATGCAAAGTTATGAGGCAAAAGGTTAAATCCAAAAGAAAAACCAATTCCAACTCCTCATTTACCTCTTCGTCAACAATTTTCCATTCAGCTGGATTCTCATAGTGAGCAAAGAGTGCTTTACACATTTCCGAGATCCGATCATTTGATGTGCATGGGGGATTCTGAAGGGAATTTTGAGGAGAATGTCAAATCCAATTTACCTCAAAGATCGTTCTTTTAATCACTTTTCCCCCACCATTCCATCGCTCCGATCGTTTTGTGCCCAAAAGCGGGGAATTCATCGGCAAATGAAGAAAAAGCGATAGGAAAAGCCGCTTTCATTTTGCTCTCATCTGGCTAAAATTTAGTTACCGTAAATAACTGTAATAGTGCCCCACCCCCATAATGACGGTGCGGAGTGTTGCGTAGTCTAGCTTTGAACGAGTTTTTCTCAACACTGGTTTATGCTACAATGCGCGCTTTGGTATCAAAAATAGTCCTGAATTTCAGCTATTTTTTGATACCAAAGACGCATTTTTGAAAGTACGGGCGCTTTGAAAAAATGAAATACTAAAAACTTTTGCGACTACGCGACTGTACGAGGGGTGGCGTACTATTACAGTATTTACGGTAGTTTATATCAAAATCAATATCTCATGATTTTCACAAACCGAGAATCCATATTGTCGAGCGAATCTCGCATAAACGATATGTGGCGGTTCACGAAGAGTCAAAATTGTGTTCATCACATCGAATGAGATAACCTAAGAAAGGAAAAATCACCTTTGAAAAACGACAAGAGAATTTCCAGTTACCGTAAATCGAAACTAGACTGGATAGCTCAAAAAGTGCATTTTCTAAAACACGTCAGCTTACGAAAACTACCATAATCTTGCTTTTTTCTTTAATCCATATACTTTTGTATTCTTTTTCTTTTGTGAATCAGAAAAAATAGAGACTTTTTTCAGTACCGGACAGAATAATAACAGCCCCACGCAAAAACCCGATCTTCAAACCCTTTTTTCGGTATGTAACCGTGAGAGTTACCCCCGAACACCATATAGATTCTGAAAGCTCAATTCAAGATCTAGCGAATGGCATATTTTATATTTCAGTTTAGATTAGTTTTTGAAGCATTTCAACCCTTCAAAGGTGACCACTGAAAATTGCATCTTTCAGAGTGAATTTTTCTCTATTAGAGCGGGCTCCAAGCGTTCAATCACCGAAAAGAGTCAAGGAAGATCACTTGCCGAGCTTGCTAAACAATTTCGAGACGTTTCGACGTCATTTCGCAGATGAAAACCTGTTAAAACCGGCTAAGAATCACTTTTTTTCGAGCAAAGTTTAACAAGGAATTCGAAAAATGTGGTAAGGAACGACTGGAGCCCGCTCTAATAGAGAAAAATTCATTCTGAAAGATGCAATTTTCAGTGGTCACCTTTGAAGGGTTGAAATGCTTCAAAAACTAATCTAAACTGAAATATAAAATATGCCATTCGCTAGATCTTGAATTGGGCTTTCAGAATCTATATGGTGTTCGGGGGTAACTCTCACGGTTACATACCGAAAAAAGGGTTTGAAGATCGGATTTTTGCGTGGGGCTGTTATTATTCTGTCCGGTACTGTGGATTGGATAAAAACTAGAGGCAAGGTGACGGTAATTTTCGAAAGTTAGCATACTTTAAGAAAGATTTTAACAGAAGAATACACTTTTCAAAATGTACGCCATCGATTACGGTATTAAGACAGCCGGTTTCTGGATTACGGTACTCCAGAAAGATGGATATTTTTATTTTATATGAAATCCCACTTGAATATCCACAAATCCTTTCTCTTGTGCTCTCAACATCGCTTTTCCGAGAAACATTTACAATTTTAAGCTAAATTTTGTTTAACATCGATTTTCAGTAGAAATGTCAATAGAAATCGGTCAATAGAATGTCAATGTCAATAGAAATCGGTCAATAGAATGTTAATGTCAATAGAAATCGGTTGGCCTTTAAAAGTCAACCGATTTTAGAAAAAAAAGACGTAGAAAATGTTGAAAATGTTGAAAATGTTGAAGAAGTTCTTTTTTTTGGAAAAATTTATTCTGGATCTTTAAATGGAAATTGGATTTACTTTTAAAGTAAAACTTAAACTTAAACTTGAAGAAAGTTTTAACTTTTGCTAATGTAAAGCTTTTCAGGCATTCTTTTTCAATGTTATTTGTTTTTTGACGTAGCTTTGAGTGTTAGAGTTGAGCAAAGATACTTTTCCGATGAGTGTACTGCTCAAAAATTGTAAAACCAACCTTTCTGGTGCACTGAATTCATTATTTTAGTTAAGTCAATGATTCTATTGTTAAATAGAAACTATTGTCAATGATTCTATTGTTAAATAAGTTAAGTCTTCAAGTATCATAGTCCATTTACGACCCTGCACTATCTTTACTAAAAGAAAATTGAGATTTGCAGAGAAAATGAGTAATTCAATGCGTTAGAGGTTTGTTTACCCTTTTTGAACACAAAATATAGTAAAGATGTGCTTGTTAATGCATATTTTATTTCTTTAGAATGTACAATACCAATGATAACTAATAATCACTTTTCATTCTTCTCAATCCCCGATTTTGTGCTGTTTCTTTTGTGATCTCTAGCCGATATCGATTCTTGAATAAACGATGACACGCGAGTGAAGCGATAGAAATGGAGAAACAATTCGTGATCAGCAATCCGATCAACCAATTGCCCATCAATGAAAGGCAATATTTGGTGGAAAGTGAATGAGATGAGACTGAAATGGAGAACATTGAGATTAGACTTTTCGATAGATTTCTTTTCGTTTTCCACTCACCAAATTCCTCATTCGGATCAACGATTCTCAGCGATGAACTCTCCAATTTCAGTGGTTCAATTGGGGTGATTGTTGTGTGATTTAAACCTGAAAACTCAGAACTATGAGGGGAGATTTCTGTTGTGATGGATCCATGGCCACTTTTAGCTTTGTGGAATCCGAATTAGAACCGATTCTCACTAAAATCAAAGTATCGACAGGTACCGTAAATACTGTAATAGTACCCCACCCCCATAATGACGGTGCGGAGTGTTGCGTAGTCTAGCTTTGAACGAGTTTTTCTCGACACTGGTTTATGCTACAATGCGCGCCTTTGGTATCAAAAAATAGCCCCGAATTCCAGCTATTTTTTGATACTAAAGACGCATTTTTTGAAAGTATGGGCGCTTTGAAAAAATGAAATACTAAAAAACTTTTGCGACTACGCGACTGTACGAGGGGGGCGGGGTACTATTATTTACGGTATTTACGTATTTACTACAGTATTTACGGTAGGTGTTAATATCATGAATTTTTGCATAAATTTACATTTACATTTCTTCTTTTTGTAAAATCTACAATGCAAAAGAGACTGGCGTAAATGACTGGCGAAGTGTTCTTTGTGCGCGCGCACGATCGCTCGCCATCTGGCATTCCCTCTGGTATAGGCCCTGCTCTTTTTTGATTACTTTTTACCTTAAATTTGATTGTATTTCTGTTGCAAATTCGAAATTCTATAAAAGCATTGTGTCACTTAAACAGCAGCCAATTTGGAAAGAATAATGCGATCCGAGTTGAGAGTTTTGTCCCTTAATACTACGTTTTTTTTGAAGTTGAAGTAAGACAAAGTAAGCTCTTTAGGCCTCCTTATAACGAATCTGAAGTGAAAGGGCGAGACTTATGTTTGCCAGGAGCAGATTTAGCTTTTAAACTAGAAAAAAAAGTATGAAATGACACCAAAAGTTTGGGGGTTTTGCACCGGGTGAATTTTCGTTTTTTGGCTGTTACCCTAAAGTCTTGAGTATAAGTTCATCCGAGTATAAGTTCTGTCTTAATTTACATTCGCTTTAATTGCTTTGAATTTCTTTTTGTTGGGTTTTTATACATTTTTATTGTTATATAAACTTTTATTATTGTTCTTGGAGCGCGGGATACTACAGGGTGACAGCCTATCAGCATTGCTATTTGTTATGTGCATGGATACATCCAGACGATAGTGTTGAAGAAGACACTGGAAAGCATCTCTTTCGACCGTCGACGTGGACTTTGGCCGGATGAAGAGGCCAGGGAGGGATCCATAAGACTGAGCACCGGAGAGGAGCAGGGCGGACGCGCCGAGCCACGCCCGGAGCAACAAATAACAGCATAAAATTGCTATAACCCTCAATAAATTTACTTCTATTATTGTTCTTAAAAAGCAAAAAGTTATGCTGCAGCGGGGTTCGAACCCTCGACACACCGCACCGGAGACAGCCGTCAATTTGCAGGCGAAAACCAAACAGGAACTTATACTCGCGACTTTAGGGTACATTTTATTCCCTATTCATGCTATTTCGATGATTTTTGGGGTTTAAGGGCTATTTTTGGTCCTGAATCTAACTACGTTTTTAGTTTTTTTTTGTCACTGGCACGGAAGCCGCAGAAAATTGAAATTTAGGGGGTGGCGTATGGTTTTGCACCGCACTGTACAAGGTTGTCCAGTTACAGGGACTAGGAATATCTTTGATATTGCATATTTTTGCTTATATATAGATTGTTTTTCTCTTTCTTTTCGTTTATTTTATTTATTTAACTATTTAATTACTATTTTTTCTCAAAAAATCTGTTTTTGGTATCTTTTTAGAATGACCAAGAAGTGAGTGTACCGAGATGCGATCACCTACACGAGCGTGGCGTTCTTGGCGATTGATGAGACGTAAAACAACTTGTTTACAACGCGATCAAATCGTTTCAATAGTTAGAATGAAATTCTGATCACCCCGGACGTGGTGGTAAAGCGACCGCTGTCACCAATACTAATATCAAGAAGATCAAGAAGGTCTGAGATCAATTGGTTCTAATTCGGACCCCTTCTTTAAGATAAGATTTAACTTGTCAAGGATTATTCATAGAATCAAAGAGATTTCTATTTTTAAGCCTTTTCCCTACCATTCAATGCTGCATGAATCCTCAGCAATCTCTCCTCGATCGACAAATTTTCGGCCAAATTTCTCTTGTGATGCGTTCGTGGACAATGTGGAGGCTAAACTTTGAGAATCGATATGAATTTCATGGAGGAAATCGATTGCACCAAAAAGAGTGCGTTTACAATTTGGAGCACAAAGTACATGAGAGCAATTTTCTTCATAAAATAGCATTGGTTTCAAAATCAGCTAACACTTGAGAGGAAAATACAAAACATTCACAAAAAAACGGCCTAATTTGAGTACTTTTCAGAGCCATGAAAAACTATAGAATTATAGAAGACTAAAGTTATTTTTTATATCATTTAAAAGAGGAAATCAAGAGCTTTAAAATGCTATATAACACTTATCGTTTTGCTTTTGTTTTTCAAAATATTTTTGCAAACGACTTTCAATAGTTATTTTATGTCTTTTTGGAACCGAAAGAGATAACATTCTTGATCTAGATTAGAGTTTATGGGAGTGGGACAAATGCGACCTTCTTTTTTGCGCACAGACCACCTTTTTTTGCCACCGCACCTTGCCCATTAGCGCACCTTTTTTCGCGTTTAAAAAAAGCTCTAAAAGCTAATATTAACCAATTTCTATTCCAAAAGTTGTTTTTCTAGGTAATTTTAGGGCGTAGAATCGAAATTTTGACATATCAGAGCTTGTGGAACCAATTTGAAAGACAAAACGGCTAGTTCAAATTACAGAAAATTGTCGATTTTTCTCTTTGTATAACTCCGTCCGTTCGCTTCCACAAGCTCTGATATGCCAAAATTTTGATTCTACGCCCTAAAACTACCTAGAAAAACAACTTTTGGAATAGAAATTGGTTAATATTAGCTTTTAGAGCTTTTAAAACGCGAAAAAGGTGCGCTAATGGGCAAGGTGGAAAAAGGTGCGCAAAAAGGGGCCCATTTGTCCCACTCCCGGTTTTCGAAAATTTTTCTTGGGGGAGTAACTGCACTCTTACCACAATTTCTAATCTTTAATCTTTCCAATCTTTAATCTTTCCAATCTTTAATCTTTCCCTTTTTTATTTTTTCTAATCTCAAAACCTACAATTCTTTTCATGCATTCGATGTCATTTATCGAACAAACTTGCAATAAACAATTGAAGTGAACACGGTGAGTTCTGAAAACAAAATTTGAATGCTTCCGGTAAAACAAACAAACTTTGAGAATCGAAAAGCTTTGCTTGGTGTCCAAATGCTTTGATTTTCTTGATCATATTTTGGATGCGGTAGAATTTCCTCATCAAGTGAGCAACTGAAATTATTGAAAGTTAATGGGAAAAGTTATCTACTATATCTAAAGCAGAAGAGACGTCTGTCCGTCCGTCTGTCTGTGCGTAAACGCGACGCACATCGACGCACATCGGCACATGTCTTTCTATTTTTCAACCCCTTCAAAATCGACCGATCCAATAAGTCGGTAAGACCACATGGGTCCACATGAATCAAAAATTTAGAATTCGTTAGAAACTAGAATGACATGTCGCACATCGGCGCGAAATAAGGCAAAAATGCGTTTTCTATCGGATTTTTCTGGGAGTACCTTTTTAGATGTGGAAAATTGTGCTGATTCCGAATCTGAAGGAATTTTTCAAATCCCTCTGACAGAAATTTTTTAAATTTAGTTTTAGCGGTTTTTGGTCATTTTGTATGGGAAATTTTGTGTTACCCTGCAGTTTGGGGCTCGTAACTCGACAACGAGGGTCTAGAACCAAAAACGAGGGGATAAATTTTATTCTAGAGACTCTTACGAACATTTTGATGCAAAAATCATCAAATTTGCTCAACTCTACAAAAAATTACGGAGCGTCGCGACGCTCCGTAATCACGGGAAAAAGGGCGGGGCTTAGATT